CGGCCGCGGCCCGCAGACCCCTAGGCCAGGCCGGCCCCGCCCTTTTGGCAGAGCCTTTCCCGACCCCCATCCGCCGTGTGGGGGTGCCGGCAGCTGGCTCGTTTGGCAGGGCCGCAGTGAGCGGGGGCAGGCTGCGGGGACGCCCGCTCCCCCAGCCTCAGTTTCCCCAGGCGGTGCCTGCGCATCCTTGCCCGCCCCTCCCCCACCGTCGCCGGGCACCGGGTCCCCCTAGGACTCAGTCTGCGCCTCCCCGCCTCCAGCGCGGCTTTGTCCCCTCCAACCACGGCCTGTGGCGCCAGCGGCACCATGATCTCGACCAAGGAGAAGAGTAAAAGCTCCAAGGACAGCATGACGCTTCTGCCCTGCTTCTACTTCGTGGAGGTGAGGGGGCGCGCGGGTGGGATCCGGGCAGAGGGACCCCCGCGCTGAACGACAGCGGCAGGCTGAGCTCGGGACACGCCCTGGGGTCGGGGCGCAGCCGGCGTGCCGGGGGCGGGGCCGGAGGAGCCGGGCGCTGCAGTGTGAGTAGGAGTCCAGGGCGCAGCAGGGTGTTCCAGGCTCGCTGCGAGGCCTGGGCCACCGCTGGGCCGTGGGACCTTCGGTCTGGGGTTCCCGGCAGTAGCCCACCGGGAGGGGCCGGAAGAGACGCTGGAGGCCATAAGGGGGTGCGCTGAGGGAGGGTGCAGGATCTCCACCCCCTTGGGCTCTAAAGCCTGGGGTCCACGCTCAGGTACCTCCTGGGCGGATGCTGCTGGCTGGTGGGCTGCCCCTCACCTCTGATGAGACAGGCCGGGCACATAGTGAGGGCTTAACGAGTGTGTAAAAAAATAAAAGAATACATTCGGCCAGCTGGCACTTAGGAAACGCTGAGAATGGTGCCAGTGACCTTTATCCGTCTGGCGAGGGGCAGCACCGACCCCAGCCCCCATGCAGCTGCAGCCTCCCCCACTGGAGATGCCAGCAGGCACTCAGCAATGCCCCTTGGGCATGAGCCCGCTCGGCTCCTGCAAACCAAACTTTGTCATTTCCCCTCCAAGAGCCCCCAGCCCAGTCCCTCCCTCTGTTCCAGCCCTGACCACGGGGCTAGGGCATTCTGTCCCATCCTGTACCTTCTCCAGGGCTGGACAGACGGCTGACGTCCCTCTTAACACACAAGACAAGGTGGAAGTCTAGGTGAGAGCCTCTTGTGGGCTTCATCTGTGCCTCAGTTTCCCTACCTGTAAAATGGAGGTGGAGGCTTCCCAAGGCAGCCAGGCTCCCTCACATGCCCACACATTCTCCAGCCCCCTGCCCGTCCCCTGTGGGTGTTTGAGTTTGAGACACTTGGACCACGGAAAGTTTGCTTCCATCCAAAAGATTCCACTGGAATCCATGCTCAGTGGCTGCGGCCCACACGAATAAGTGAGTGGCCTTCCTTGGGGAACCACGCCTGTGATGTGGTCAAGAACAGCTCAGCTGGTCTACGGCCATGCTGCCCTGAACAAGCCCGATCTCGTCTGATCTCGGAAGCTAAGCTAAGTTGGGTAGGCCCTGGTTAGTACTTGGAGGGGAGACCACCTAGTAAGACCAGGTGCTGTAGCCGATTTAAAAAAAAAAAAGAAGTGAAAGGCGGAGCTGACAAGGTCCTTGCAATCTGTGAGGTCAACCAAGAGTTGCCTCGCCTACAAAAAAAAAAACACAAAAAACAGCTCAGTGGTCCTAACCTCAGCCTCACACTGCCTGTACCTCACGGGTGGCGTGAGCGTCCTGGACCATCACGTGTGATGCACGCCCAGCTTGTGGGGCGGGAGGGGTTACAACCAACATGTGCTGAGGACAGTAGCATCGATCAGTGAATTCATTTGTTCATTCATTCGGCACCTGCCCTGGGCCAGATGCCCACGTTCTCAGGGCTGAGTGGCAGGTTGGCACGTAGAGATACGGGGCCCAGAGGAAATAAAGCAGCATAAGGGATGGAGAGACGGGTGGCCACGGGGGTGGGGGGCCCTCTGAGGAGAGCTGGGGCACCACGGGGATGTCCGCGGGCATCCACGCATCCCCGAGAGGAAGAGCCCAGAGGCAGGATCGTGTTCGCTGTGTCTAAGTTGTTCAAGATGGCAAGGGGGGCCGGGATGAATGAAGTGGGTGGGTGATGGACGGATGGGTGGATGAGTGGGTAGTGAGTGAATGAATGAAAAAGATGGATGGGAAGAAGGACAGACGCATAGGTGGATGGTGGAATGGATGATGGGTGGATGGATCCTGGATGGGTGGATGAGGATGGATGGGGAAATCTGCTGAATGAATTCATGGATGCGAGAAGGGTCCGAGGGGAACGGGTGCACCACAGCATGGACAGGTAGGTGGGGGGTGGGGTGGGGTGAATGAATCAGCGGATGGGACTGAACTCATGAATGGAAGATCCCATGAGAGGACGTGGGGTGACCCTGGCCGGCCATCTCCCTGCAGCTGCCCATTGTGGCATCCTCCATCGTGTCACTGTACTTCCTGGAGCTGACCGACCTCTTCAAACCGGCCAAGGTGGGTTTCCAGTGCTACGACCGCACGCTCTCCATGCCTTACGTGGAGACCAACGAGGAGCTCATCCCGCTGCTCATGCTGCTCAGCCTGGCCTTCGCGGCGCCTGCGGCCTCGGTGAGTCCCCGTGCCTAGGGGTCTGGGCCGGCCCGTGGGCGCCGCTGGCAGGGACTGAGCACCACGCTATCGGCAGATCATGGTGGGCGAGGGCATGCTGTACTGTCTGCAGTCGCGGCTGTGGGGCCGCGCGGGGGGCGCAGGCGGGGCCGAGGGCAGCATCAACGCCGGCGGCTGCAACTTCAACTCCTTCCTCCGGCGCACCGTGCGCTTTGTGGGTGAGTCTCCCCGCAGCAGCCCCGCCCCGCCCTGACCCACGCCCCGGGGTGGGCGGTGCGCCCCTATCCCCGCCCTGACCCAGGCCCTGAGGTGGGCGGTGCGCCCTATCTCCGCCCTGAGTGGGAGGTGCGGCCCCAGCTCCCCGCCCTGCCCTGCCCTGCCCCTCCCACTCGCAGGCGTCCACGTGTTCGGCCTGTGCGCCACTGCCCTGGTGACCGACGTCATCCAGCTGGCCACGGGTTACCACGCACCCTTCTTCCTGACGGTCTGCAAGCCCAACTACACGCTGCTGGGCACCTCGTGCGAAGCCAACCCCTACATCACGCAGGACATCTGCTCTGGCCACGACACTCACGCCATCCTGTCGGCACGGTGAGCCGGCCCCCAAGCCCCTCCCTTCGGGTGCGGGGAAACTGAGGCACCGAGGGGTCTCGGATATGGCGGGGCTCACCTGGACGCCTCTTACAGGAAGACCTTCCCGTCGCAGCATGCCACGCTGTCCGCCTTCGCCGCCGTCTACGTGTCGGTGAGTTTCCCCACCCCC